CCCATTTAACTCACAACAAACCTGCATGGTAGGTAGTATGATTATCTCCATTTTGCCCAGGAGAAAAGTGCAGTATTCAACTTCTCTCCGGTTCTCTGTTCGGCCTTCCAGACTGTAGGGTTTCTTCTCAAATCCTCCTAGTGGACCCAAATTTATTAGTTATTTATGAGAGAAAAATTCACAAGAATTACTAAGAAAGAATATGCAGGACTTGGTGACTCATTGGATACAGGGATTTCGGCGGGTGGTGAAATTCAGTTCTTTGATTGTAACACTTTCTAAGGTGACTGTAACACTTTCTAAGGTGATTAACGGGGGAGAATCATGACTTTTGAGAAAAGAGGAGCACAGTTTTAGATGTGTTCAATTTAGTGTGTCAATCAGACACTCAGATGACTAGTTTTTATTATATATCAGGTCATTCCAAAAAGTCACTTGAGAAACGTACATAATAAGAAATAATACAACAGGATAGAAAAAAAATAAAAGAGGAAATCAGGTTAGAGGGAACGACTCCTCTGTAATTACTGCCACCCTACTGGATAAAAGGTCCCATTTCTGGGGCTCTTATAGGACCTTATATTTCTCTCATTATAGCACCTATTTAAAACTTTATTACAATTCCCAGCTTAATATAAGTTCCAGTTTAATATAAGTTCCATGAGGGCAGCACTCCTGTCTGTGTAATACACCATCCATCCCCATCACCTAGCACAACGAATATCAAGTGAATGAATGAATATATGAAAAACCTTATTTAATCCTCCTAACAGACAGACCTGAAAAGAGAATTCCCATTCACCAGCAATAAAGTTCAGCTGTGAAGACGATGTTTTTTCCATGTACTTTGCCACCTCTCTATTTAACATGGATACAAATGAACTAAAACAATTCACCAAAGAAAGGCCAAGATTGGAAGGAACATATCACAAGGAATGACGGAATAAAAGCAGCGATGTTTAGCCTAAGGAAGAGATGGTGGGAGAAGTCCTGCATAAGTCAGTCCTGTGTGCCCTGCTGCAGCTGGACTCCAAGGACACGCACATCATAAAAATAAAGGAATTTTGGTGTACGGATGTTGCAGAAGTGAGGCCAACTGCCACATATGGGAAACCATAAAGACATATTGTGATCTTACAAGTTTCCTATCAGTTAAAGTTGTCCAAAAATAGAGTTGCCTAAGAGGCAGTGAGTTCCTTGTCACTGGACTTTTTCAAATATAAGCCAGCTAAGGATAGGCTGTAAAATGGTAAAGGATGTTTAAGTGTTGGAAATGCAGGTGGATTCAATGGCTTTCTAGTTCTCTTCAATGCGGAAGTTATATGATTCAACTCTCAGTAAAGGGAAGTCAAAAGGATCTCCAGTACTTAACAGAGGAAGACACTTCCTACCAGGAATGTAGTCTTACCCATGCAGGAGGAATATCACAGCAGAGAAAAAGCAGGCAGGTTGGATAACCCTGCCCATTAGCTTCATCCTGTTTTCACTATTCCTATTTTTTTTTTTTTTTTCTGCTTTGGTTCTTCATTGCTGTGCGCGGCTTTCTCTAGTTGCAGTGAGCGGGGGTTACTCTTCGTTGTGGTGCACGGGCTTCTCACTGCGGTGGCTTCTCTTGTTGCAGAGCACGGGCTCTAGGCCCACGGGCTTCAGTAGTTGTGGCACGCAGGCTCAGTAGTTGTGGCTCGTGGGCTCTAGAGCGCAGACTCAGTAGTTGTGGTGCACAGGCTTCGTAGTTGTGGCGCACAGGCTTAGTTGCTCCATGGCACGTGGGATCTTCCCGGACCAGGGCTCAAACCCATGTCCCCTGCATTGGCAGGCAGACTCTTAACCACTGAGCCACCAAGGAAGCCCTATTCTGTTTCTTTACACTTTAAGATCTTACTTCAGTTTCCCATGTAGACTTTCTTGCAGGATGGAAAATGTTCTGACTAGTTAGCTAGATTATTCTAGTTCACTTACCAGTTAGACTTCTCAGGGAAATTCATGAATTCAGCACTCAAGTTAATCAGTGTTTTCTGATTAATCCCTTTCAGCCTAATCATGCTGGAACACATAATAAATTTGCATTTCTGACCTTAAAAACTGAGAACGAGTCTCTGAATTTTGGTAATCCACCAGTGTGCCTCCCCCCTGGTTAAAGCAGCCACCTAAATGCCACATATGCTGGATGACAAGTTGGATCTCTGTGTCAGTGTCTCCATTCCCTTTAGTTTATAGTAATAGTAATAATAATGATAGCAGCGACAATGAAGAATGCAATGTCACAAAGAGAACTATTAAAAAATGAAGTCGCTTTTGTTTTAACTTGATTTTTATTATTTGCTGCGGTAGAAGCATCAGGAAGTAATAAAAAGTAACATCCCCCCATCAAAGTTAGCCAAGGCTTTGGATTCCTAGGGGTCAGGGTCCAGGATCTCTGAGCCTTCATGTGCTTCCCAATGAGCTATCAAGCTATTTTACGTGAGAAACATGCATTTGAGCTCTCAATTTTGTGCGGGGGTTGAAAGGGGGAAATTGGATTTCCAAGGATTTGAAATGGAACAGGGATTTATTCTTCTTTGGGGATAGAGAACTGAGCCTGTTCAGACCAGCCCCTCAGTGAATGCAAAACCTTGAAATGAGTGGTTGCTGGGAAGCTGAATGGTCTGTGCACTAAGGTTTGGAAGCCTGGAGGAGGAGCCCTGAATTTCTCCAGAGGAAATGGAGCTACCGCAGAGCCACCCTCCATGGAAAGACCTCTGGTTCAGGGCACAGAGCTTGACAGGCCGACCTCTGATGAGGCACCAACAGGGACACTGGTACCCCAACAGTGACATCGTGCGGTCATAAGGAGCAATAGCAGCAGAGATACACAGTCTGAGAGACACTGAGACGGTGTGAACCCCCTGGTATAACTGCACAATCTAAGGAAGTGGAAGAGCCCTAAAGTGACTGGAAACAGACTTCCTACCAATTGTAGCAGGTAGGGGCTTGGCCTCTTCTAATTGAGTCCATAGAAATTTATTTAAAACGTCACTGTTGAACTCTGGTCCCAACGTCCTCATTTAAAGCACTCATCCTCCCCAGTAATTATCTGTACCCTTAGTGTTTTCTTTTCTTCAGAACCCATAACCAGAAGGCCCTTCTAGTTCATACATTTACTTGTTTTTATCTGGCTTATAAGTTTACTTCTTTATTGCCTGTCTTCCCCTTACTAGAATTTAAGTCCACGGAGGCTGGGATCCTGTCATTCTTGTGTGTCACTGTATTCCCAGCTCTTAAAATAGTGCCTGGCAGACCCTCGGAATTCAGGAAATATTTGTCAAATGAGTGGACGAATGGATTATATACCTGAAACAAACTATGTTCCACGTACTGTGCTAGGCACTTAACATCATTTAATCCTCGTATCAGCCCAGTAGGGGCTATCACTATCCCTTTGAACAGCTGAGGGAACTACGAACCCAAATCATTAACCACTGAGCTCTACTGCCCCTCACCATTCCTGTTTCCCATCCCTCTAGTTACCTTTTCCAAGAACATCCCCTCCCTTTCCTCCTTCAGATTAGGCTGTGTCCCTTTCCCCTTTCCTCTCAAAATAACCTATGTATAACTATCACTGCACTTACATCAGTCATTATATGTTTGTATCTCCCTACACTCTGAGGTCCTTGAGTGCCTCAGAAGGGATTGTCCTCTTGGTGTTCACGAGAGATACTATAGGGCCTGGAACACAATAGGTTCTCAAAGTATTTTTATACAACAATGACTGAATGAATGGGTGGATGACCACACTCCTATCCCGAGCCAACCCCCTCCCACTTCTCCTCTTTTCTGTGATGCTCGCGAGAGCCTACCGTGCACCAGGCACGGGAAATACAGAAATGAATAAAATAGTCTCTACTGCAAAGGAGCCACAGTCTAGTGGAGCTGGGGTGGTGGCGGGAGAGTAATGGCAAACAATCACCATTAGCGCAGTTAGCGCTGAAGCGTGCAGGTGGTGCTAGGAAGAGAAGCATCTGGCCCTAAAACAGGGGCACCTTGCTGCCTTTTGTAGGACGGTAGAGATGAGAGTGGGAGCACGCGGCTCATCGTGATTCAGTAGTAGAATGAGGGGAAGTGGCAAGAGGTGAGGCTACAAAAATGGGCAGGTACCAGCTCATGAAGGGCCTTGAAGGTAACATTCAAGAACTTGGACTTTATTCTGAAGGTGATGGGGAACTATTGAAGGGTCTGGATCAGGAAGGTGATGTGATCAGATCGGCAGTTCAAATAATGGTCAGATGAAAGACGAAGCCTGAAATAGAGCAGCAGCAATGGGTATTAAGAAAAGAGAAGAGATCAGAGTTATCAGCAGGATAACTGTTTCCATGTGGTAGGGGAAGGAGAGAAAGGAGGAGCTAGTGAAGACTCCCAGGTTTCTGGATGGATGATGGTGCCATTCGCTGGTAAAGAAAACACAGGAGGAGGAGTAGTTTTGAATGATACGTAGTAAGTGCTCAATAAATAGCTGTTGAATTGAACTTAATTAAAAGGTAGAAGACACACTGCTTCTTTTGGATGCATTTGGAGTTTGGATTCCTTTTCAAATACAGCTCAAGACAGTGGTCTAGGGGGTATGTGGCCCATAGGACAGCCTCAGCAGTGGGAGTTAATGGAAGAATACTCAGAATGAGAAGAGGGCTAAGAACAGAATCTCAGAAAACCCAACTTTTAAGAGGTGGTAGAGGAAGAAGAGACTAAGGGGAAAACCACAAGTTGACATTTATTGAGCACCTACAGCAAGGGACTGTACTAGATGTTGGGAAAAAATTATGATTGTATGTCCCGAGGAGGAAAGTGCCGAAGGAGCAAGTAGCCAGAAGGATGTGTCTATGTGCCACTGGGGGAGAGCCCAGGATTCAGTGGAAACTGGAGAAATCACACAATGATCTGTTGGAAATGGAAGCCACACTCCAGGTTCCAACGTCTGTCTTATTCCTTGCATCGCCTTTCCCCCACCCCTTCACATGGAGTCCGGATTAGGTGCCATGACTTTTATTGACGGTGAGTGTAAGCAGGTGTGAGTGGCTGCTCTTTTAAAGGACACAGGGTGCTGGGCTTAAGAAGCCAGGAAGGGAGGGCCAGTGCTGGGCTGTGGATGCAGGATTCACTCCTTATTTGGGCGGGAACGCTGCATTCTGAGAGGAAGATTTATTTCGGGGCTAGGCATCGGCGCGGGGGAGGCAGGCAGCACCAGCCATTAGGCCGCACTCTCTATTTGGAGCACAGCCGCTGCTGCTTCGGCAGCCCCAGGTCTCCCGGGATCTTCCTCGGTATCCTGCGGAGGTTCTGGTTCCTGCTTAGACTCCGGCTCAGGCTGGGCTTCCGGCTGGCCCTCAGTGCTCCGGCCAGGCCCAAGGCGAGGAGGCTTAACAGGCGTGGGGGATGGCGCTGCAGGCCCTTTCCGGCCCGAAAAGGCCCTTCGCAAGCTATGCACCAACCCGGCGCGCCGCAGCCGCAGCGCCCTGGACTCCACGGGCTCCTCCTCGTCTGAGCTCTCCCCACCTTCGCCCTCCGGCTGCTGTGGGCCAGGTTCGGCCTGGTCCGCCGGGCCTAAGGGCTCCGGCGCCTTCTGGAAGGCCTTGGCCGGGATTTCAGCCTCCTCCTGCAAGTGATGGACACAGCACTGGCCCTGGCAGCCCCCTATCCCGCACCAGCCTGAGCCTCCCTCCTCAATGACACCAGGGGAACCCACCCCACCCTTAGCCTCCGCAGCCCGGATGGGAAAGAAAAGGCAGGCGTGGGAAAGGGGGGCGTGGGTTGGAGGGAGGTGGGGAGAGCTAGGGCAGGGGAACTGCAGAAGTTTGTGGAACCCGGTTATGGACATGAGACAGGATGGTAGCCGCAGGGGCAAGAACAGGAGGAGGGGGCGAACTGTCTCGGGATGCACTTCCGCCACCGTTCTTTTCATCTGGGGATGGGCTGGGACTTGGAGCAACTGCTGTGGACGTGGCCTGGGCGTGGCCTGGGCGGGCTTTGATTGGCTGGGTTCAGGGGTGTGAGGGAAGGCTGGGGCTCGGTGGTGGGAAGCGCGCGAGGGCCTGGAAGTGGTTTCCACGAGACCGGAGGAGGGTAGGGTCAGGAATGTGGGTGTGGTAGGCGGATGGGAGGGGGAGCCCCCAGGTGGTGGCCCGCGGGAAAGGCCCGGATCAGGGGACGCCAGAGGTCACTGACCTTGAAGAGCAGAACGTGGAGCTTCCCGCGCGCCACCAGCAGCCCGTGGTTGGCCTCCAGCCGCTGCACCTGGGCGGCTCGGCGCACCGCGCGCTCCTGGGCGGCATCGGTGTGCGAGCCCACGCGCTCAGCCTTGGCCAGTAGCTGCGCCAGCGCGTTGCTCGTGGTGTCGTGGCTGCGACTCAGCGCGCCCAGGCGGCTCTGGATGCGATGCACGGAGCCCGCCAGGCCGCCCTGCCTCTGAGCCAGGCACCCCTGCCGCTCGCGCAGCGCCTCCAGCATGGTGGCCAGCTTCTCCAGCAGGGTCACCACCGTGACGGCGTGCACCGGGCCCCTAGCCGGCGCTCCGGGAACAGGCCCCGGCTCCAGCGCGCTCTCCCCCATGCTCCCCGACTGCCCTGCCTGGCTCTCCCTGAAGCCGCCGGCTGCGCTCTGGGCTGGGGCCGCCTTCCCCGGCTCCTCCCCAGCTCCGGCCGTGACTCAGGCAGGCGGAGTTGGCCTTCCCGGGCGGCGGGAGGGAAAGCGGGGGGCGGGATGTTGGTGGTGGGGTCCTTCGGAAGCGCTCCCCCTTTCCGCCGCCCCGCCCTGGAGACCCGCGGGGAAGCAGGTTGGCCCGGGATCCGCCCCACCCCGCCCGGCAAACTCTCTGGCTCTGAGTGTGAGTTCCCTCCCCCACTCCAATTCCCTAGTGTGCCTCTTTCTGGAAAGTACTCTCCCCGCTGCAGAGGGCGAGCCGTGGAAAATTTTGCTGTTTGCATCGAGTGGGCAGAGAAACTATGTTAGCAAAGCAAAGGGGTAACCAAAGGGCCTCCGCAGCCTCCTGCCCTGGCCTCCCACGCTTCAAAGGGTTGCGTTTGCGCCCCACGCTGGGCGCGGTAGACTGGGAGGTTCTTGGACATTCCGCTACCAACCTAAGACTGTTTAAGCCTGAGGCCTCGCTTTGGGACCCAGCAGGCCCCGCAGTGTGGACAGAGGAGGGGCGGAGGGAGTAAGGAGGCATCCTCTGGTATTTCCCTAATAGTCTTCACCAGGGTTTGGCCACAGGCCTCATTTTCTGCTTCTCTAGTTCCTACTGCTGTGTAGCATTACCCTGCTTTCTTTCTTCTAGTTCTTTCCCTCTCTTTCTTTAAGCCCATCAGAGCCTAGGTCCTGCACCCCAAGCTTGGAGGACAGGCAGGACACCTCTTCCTGTGAAACCTTTAAAAGTGTTAGAGTAGGTTCTGGTGTGTCTTTGTTCTTCTGGAGGCTAGTTGTGGCTCCCACCTGATGTTTTTTAAATGTTCTTTGGAAATAGGTGAGAATATCAGCTGACAGTGAAGAAGATTTAAGATGGCTGCCTGGAGGGGGAGAGAGCGAACATAGAGGATCCAGTTAATGATGTGGGTAATGGATTCCTTATGTCATCAGTTTGGAAAACCCCACGCCTTGTTTCTAGCAGTACTTGGTAAACTGATGGTAGGCACAGAAATTCAAGCAATGCATTGATCATGATGAAGTCTCTCCTTCTGCTTCTCCTCACCCAATCTCTGAGGGCCACTTGATGACTGTGGAAGAAACCGTCATTCAGGGGATAGTTACGTGGGCCCGAAAAGACCTGAGGTCCGATTTACACAGAAGTACAGCAGAGGATGAGCAGTTATTGCCAGAAATCTGGTGATGCTAAGTTAATGACCAAATTCTACAAATACAAGTTCATGTAGCCTGACACCCTCTGCCCCTTGGGGGCCTAATGGGAATCACCATCTCCTCCAGTGGATCTATATCTCAGAGAGACCCATCAGGATGTGCCAGTTAAAATACTTTCAAACTAAGGGAACAGAGAACCCAATTTAAAAGTTCTTAAACACAGGAAATCCAATTCAGACATAATTGAAAAAGACCATGGTAGAGTGATGCTTAAGTGTGGGTCAGTCACAGCTCTCTCAACTATGCCCTCTACAGGTGTCAGCTTCATTTCCAGACGGGGAACAGGGTGGTTACAGCAGTTCCAGGCCGCATATCTCTGCACAAGATCAAGAGAAAAGAGGGGACCATCTTAAAATTTAGAACATTTATTTCCCAGAGGCCCCCAAGAAGTTTTCCAGTTGCCTGCCACTGAATTAAATGGCCATGCCAGAACCAAGTTCTATGGCTCTGCATTGGTGGGCTTAAGCATAAGTTCCTTAACCCATCACTGACAAGAGAGCTGATAATTACCTTTTGACAAAGTAGGCCCACTTCTACAGCAGGGTAGGGTCCGCTTGCCTAGGCGCACATGGGTGGTTTGGGCGGAAAAGTGGTTATCTATGTATAACATCTGGGTGCTGCTAAGGATAGATAGTCAATCAGAAATATCTGCTACAGGAAGCCTGTGAAAGAATCACTAGCCTTGGGAGTTGGTACTAACGAAGCCCAAAGCACTTGGAAGCAAGAGCTATACGGAGAGATGTTTTCCAAAGGCCTGCTGACTCCTCTCTGGATGTGCAGAACAAGGATGACCTTAAAGTTCAGCAACAAAGCCACTGATGATTCCACTGATCTTCCCGAAACTTCAACTATAAAAGCCATAAAACTAGCAGATACTGGAAAATAGAAGCCCATGAGCTGCATAAAAATAACTTGGGGCAAACCTAGAAGAATGCCCTGAGTCAGAAAAAGCCCAGATTGATGGAAATTATAGTAGTATGACCTTGATCACTAAGTATCCAAGAAAAAGCCATATTACAGTTTCCAATAAGGATGGAAAGAAGCAAAGAGAGCAAAGATGCAGAATGATACCCTCTAAGGCAGTGCAACCTGATCTTGTTTAATGATTTCATTTTCTCCATCAGGGATGTGACTGGGACCCACCCCCTCAAACTCCTTGGCATGGGTTTGAAAAATGGAAACCAATTGGTGTGGGTTTATCGTGTCACCCCAAAAATATATGTTCAGATCCTAACCTTTGATACCTGTGAATATGTTCTTATTTGGAAATAGGATCTTTGCAGATGTAATCAAGTTAGATGAGATCATGCTAGAGTAGGGTGGGCCCTTAATCCTATATGACTGGTGACCTTACAAGAAGAAAAGAATCACACAGGGAGAACACCATGTGACAATGGAGACAGAGAGTGGAATCATGCTGCCACAAGCACAGGAAAGCCTGAAGTGTCCAGGAGCTGAAAGAGGTAAGGAAGTATCCTCCCCTAGAAGCTTTGGAGGGAGCGTGGCCCTACCAAATTCTTTAAAAAAATTGAAACAAAGGTATTGCCCGCCCTGCTTCTCAAGCTTCTTTTCATACATTGGCCTGTCCCCTTCCCAGAACATACATACTATGAGGAAGAGTTGTCTTTATTTTAAAAGAAACCACTACAGCTTTCATGAGGGTTGGACCTGCCTGGAATATATCTGCCTAACAAAGATGGACTCAGCGGTGGCCCCCTGCCTCTGCCTGTATCTGCTCTGGGTCCTTTAAGTGAGAGGAAGCTCAAGGAAACCTCTGAAAGAGATCAGGTTACAGTGCCTTAGATGATATCACTCAGCATCCTTGTTTTCTTTCTTTCCTCAGTGGTCAGGTGCCCCACTGTCTGATGTTGCAAAGATGCCCTGAAACGAAAGTGACAGAGGCACTGCAGTTCTTAACATCATACCTGAGGGGAAGAGGATGTTCAGTCAGGGCCGGGGACCAGCCATGAGGGATGCAGCAGATGGGGGCCTCCTGGAGTAGTAGTACTTTAGCCCATGACACGTAGTGAAATGTGTGTGATATCTCCCACTGGAACAAAGAACATCAACTAATGGGAGTGTTTGGGCTTTAGTGTCCAAATTTGCTCCACCTTGGAATCCTTATACACTCCACATCTTGGGTTATCCAAAAGGTCACATACTTTGAATAGGGTTCAGAGGCGCCTCAGTGATTGACCCTGGCCAAGTTACAAGTCAGCTCCTAGCCCTTGGGCCGTATAAGAAAGATGAGACTTGAGGTCTGTGTGTGATTTCTGCCTCTCCCACCAAGACGATTTGGGGAGAGGGGGAGAGATGGCAGGACCTAAAAGGAAAAATGTAACATAAACATTTAGGCAATGCTTCCGGCATCTGAGAATTATACTGCTTTTGAAAGATAATTGCTGGCTTACGAGTAGATGCTAGTGGAGAGATTCACCAGAGGTTGCTGGATTGTTTTGTTCATTGTCTCACATAGCAATGCAGCCTAACAGTCTTTGATTATGCAATGGAAAAAAATCTAAAAAAGGATCAGAAATGGCTGTGTGAGTTAATTGTACAAGAAACACCCTTGACCCTGAGCCTCACTTTCAGCTGCCAAACAAACAGGGACATCTTCCAAGGACTTAAGCTTTGAATTAAAAGTAACAACATGCATGGTAGTTTGTATCTGATAAGCAACAAGTAATTACTGTATAGCACAGGGAATTATACTCAATATCTTATAATAACCTATAATGGAAAATAATCTGAAAAAATATATATATATAACGGAATGGCTTTGCTGTACACCTGAAACTAACACAATGTTGTAAATCAACTATACTTCAATTAAAAAATAAAGTAACAACGTGTGGCACAAGCAGAACCACCCATTCAACAGGTTAGGAGCCTCGGTGGACAGGCGCTACCTTCCACCCTTTGTCACAGACATCCTGCCTACGGAAGGGGTAAGGCCATTCCACACAATGAGGGAGCTCTGTGCCTCTGGCAGTGAAAAGAGCTATAAGTTTGGAGCAACAGGAAGTGAGAATCGGTTCGAACTCCAGAAATCAATATAACCAAATGGATGGAAGATCCTGGAATTGTACATTATGGCCAAGAGGTTTGGGGATGGCTTTTATGACAAGAATCAGGCATATTGTTCCCTCAAACCACTATTTTTTGTATCTCATATTTTAGAAGGTTGAGTAGTGTCCCCAAAAAGGTATGTCCAAGTCCTAACCCCAGTACCTATGAATGTGACCTTATTTAGAAATAGGGTCTTTGCAGATGTAATTAAGGATATTGAAATGAGATCATCCTAGGTTTGGGGTGGGCCCTAAATCCAGTGACTAGAGCCCTTATAAGAAGAGGAGAAAACAGAGACACAGAAAAGAAGGCCATGTGAAGATCGAGACAGAAATTGGAGGGCAACCCCAAACCTAGCAGCCACCAGAAAGTAAGAGAGAGGCATGGAATGGATTCTCCGTCAGAACCTCCTGAGGGTGCGTGACCCTAGCAACATTGATTTTGTACTTTTGCCCTCCAGAGCTGTGAGGGAGTATATTTCTGTTGTTTTAAGCCACTAAGTTTGTGGTAATTTGTTACAGCAGCCCTAGGAAATTATTACACATATGAACACCCACCGGAAGGATTAGGGACACAAAAAAGCAGTTTTAACAACCAAGTAAATCAGTCAATATGCCATGAATGGAATCAGAGCATCCTGCACCTGAGATGAGGCTGAGAAGCCCAGAACTGTGGAATATGTCATTGCTGCTGGAGCCAGTTGTCAGGGTGTGGGAGTTGAGCTCCTCCTGCAAAACTGTCCTGGGA